GGAATAAAATCGGAATTTTTGCTGTTATCGTGATAAAAATTTACGATTTGATATCGGAATTTTTCCGGGTCTCTGGTAAGAGCTAAGTTTAATTTTTATAAAAAAACTGTTTTGGGGAAAAAGATGAAGCATTTTAATTTTATCAAGAAAAGCATAGATGAAAGTCCTAACGATTGGCTATGTTGATGTTAACATGTGATCAAAAAATTTAATTATTTAATTGGTTAATTAATTTTGTCAATTATATTGGTTAATATTCTATTCACGTGATTAATATTCAATAATTTGATTGGCCGGATAAATTTTATTGGAATTTTTCGAGTTAAATAAATAAAATAAAAGATCGATATAATTAAAAATGTATAAAATCAACTATAAAATCAATATTAAAATGACTTTTTATTTATGATTATTATTTGAATTTTGTAAACGCCACCTGAAAAATTATTTGTTCCTTGTTCTATCCATCAAGGTTCTTTAAATTTTCGACGATTAACTGAGATAGCTTTTAATAAAACAACGACCAATGAATGTATCCCTATTTACAACTCAATGATGTTATTTATTTTCCTCATTATATGTCCATTGTAGTAAAAGATAAAAATCATAAAAATAAATCACAAGGTATAAAAATATTAAAATTTTAAATATTTAAAATGGATCAGCTAGTGATAAAAGCGCCGATTGGCTACACTATTTTGACCATTTTTTTTTGGTTGCGTTTTAAAAAGCTCGTTTCTGTATCGAAACGAATAAACAACAAAAAAATGAATATTTGTTTCGTGTCTTTTATAAAACCGTTCTTTATTTATTGCTTTAAATTAAGGAATAAAAAAAATTAATTTTCAATCTAATTATGCAAAATAAAAAAAAAGAAGTCATTTTATTTCACTTAAAAATAAAACAAATTGCAATTTATAAATTTACATATGAATATTTTGTATCCTAAAAAATAAATTTACTAATATATTTTATATTCACGGTTTAACTTAATATATTTCAAAAAGATTTCCTGAGCAAAGTAAACCTTCTTGACCAGTAGAAAACAATGGATTTTTTAGAGTTTGATAAATATAAATATTTAAATTTAAATAACTTTAGGACATCGAATTAAATGTCACGTTATTCCAATGTTTCCAATGAACAAATTCCGGAATCGCATTTGGAAGCTTCAGGGCAGCAAAAGTCTCCGCAACAAATCTCGGTAGAACAGCACACTAAATCATCATTGCAGACCTGCTCTGTGGAACCGTTTATACAGATTTCGTCGCATTGGTTGTCTGAACCGCATGCGGAAGCAAATTAACAACAACCAACCCCATCTGAACATACTTCGTTGTAGCCGGAGATGCAACCCTGTCTTGATAAAGATGAAGCCAAGTTGCTAAATACCAAAATGATGAGAACGAATACCAAGATAAAATTCTTCATGATAATTTCGAGTTGGGAATCACCATTACTTTTTAATTTTTAGGGAAGTACGTGTGAAGAATCAACATTGTATACATCCTTAAATTTATATCCAACGCTCATATCTTTTTTTAGATCATCAATTGATAATTAACCCATATTAGAACCTCATTTACGTAAATTAAGAAAGTTAAGATTGGCGTAATTCTTTCATGAACAGTTTTTTAGTTTCTAACAATATTCCTGCAACGATACTTTCCTTATATTGTAATCATGGGACATCTTGTACAACATTAACATTGTTAAATAAAGGTATATATGCAAGTCACGCGGCATAATATTCATCTTATCTGAAATATGATTCTAATAACAAAACCCATTTACTATTTTTTGAATTGTATCGAGCGATGATGATTCAAAAAATTTTACCATTTATTGCATGTGCGACAAAATAAATAAAATTCAAACTTTTTTTTACGAGTCACGTGAATCGTCATTTTTTTTTTTGTAGCAATACGGAGTTGGCAAAAATTATAATTTAATTAAAATTATGCGCTTTACATTTTTTGAAATATTTTTTTTTAAATAAAAACAAAAAGGCAAAGAAAAAAAAAGCAATTTGGCAGTATTATTGAAACACGAGCAACAATAGATAGTATTTTGTATTTACACAGTGCACATCAATAATTTTTTAGTAATTATTTGTACAATGTGGTTTTTTAATTTTTGCTTAAATTCCGGGCCAGGCTTTAAAATTCGGGCAGACCTTTAATACTGATCTACATATGCACTTGGAAGATTGGAAGCACCCTTGGAATTACTTTGGAAGGGTTGGAAGCATAATTCTCTAATAAATTCATTTGGATTGGAAGCTTCCAATCAAATTTTATACTATTGGAAGCATAAAATGCACATCTCTGCATATGCGCTTGCTGGTAATTATCAATTCGATCTCAAATTAATCTGAAATACATTTATCAATACAAAGAACAAAGTTTACTTAATATGTATAAACTTTAAGATATGTGACATTGCACCACCTTTATTTATTACACCAGAGATAAAATTAAAGTTTAATTTTTAAGACCTCGGTGAATTATGATATCTCACTTTATGAAATCAGGCTCACCTGGATGATTATGAAAAATGAAAGGCGCAGTTATTATCGCAGCAAGTTTTTAAAAAGTTTTTGAGAAAACGATTTTTTAAAATCTTGGCTACAAAGAATTTACAGTAAATTGATCTACATAAATTTCACAAGACCAGGGGAATTTTTTTTTTGTGAAATCACGCCACTTAACGTTGAAACAATTGCCACTTTGGCTGAAATTGTGTTAAAATTAAAAATAGATTATGATTTATTTTTGGCGGGCATTTATTATTTTTTTTTTTTAATTAGGGTATTTGATAAAACTTTTTGGTGTAATATTGTGTAACCAATATAATCTATGATACGGATCTTAAATTTCAGGTAAAAAAAGAAAAATAAAATGAAATTTATAAAGATTATTTCCAAATTTTGATAATTAAAATAGATTCTGTCCTACTGATATTGCTTGTTGAATGAAGAGATCTTATTGATAATTATGAAAATTGAAGAACAATTAAGAATTAAAAAAAAAAATAAAGAATTTGTAGAACAAATAAATAAAAAAAAATAGGTATAAAAGGACGTGAAAAAATAGATAATTTCTTTATTTATTATTATTATTATTGTTTTTTTTTTTTTTAAAAAAAAATTAATACAATAACCATGAAAATCAAAATATATAAACTTTCGATTATTCATCTGACATTTGTTTTATTACTTTTCAATTGGACCTTTGCGGTCAAGCAATCTTCACATAATGTTCTCGCAAATGCATTTCATGTTAGATTTACTTCTTCACCTTTCACTTCATCTGCCGAGCATATTGAATCCCAACATGCAAATTTTCATAAAGAGATAAATAAACGTGGAATCGATGTCAAAATTAAAGAATCATTCAAACGATATGCAAACGTAATTAGCATCGAAACTGATGAACGTAATGTAAAGAGAATCGCTGAAATCGAGCACATTGAAAGTATTGAACCCGTGGTAAGTATGGAATTCGTGTCTATATCGGAAATGAATTGCACGATACGAGGTAACTAAAATCGGTTAAAACTTTATTTTTAGAAAATTTATAAACGATATAATCCAATTAAGCCAATCGAAATTAATAAAAAAAAATCGAATAAGGATGCCGAATATCCTCTTAATGGAACAGTTCTAATTGCTCCTAATAATGATATTAATGCTATTCATGAAATTACCGGTGTCAAGAAGGTTCACGAAATATTAAAAGTCTCAGGAAAAGGTGTCAGAGTCGGAATCCTTGATACAGGTATTTTAAATTATCATTTATTTAATTATTATGAACTAATTACGAAAACTTTGACCATATTTATTTTTATTTAAAATCAGGCATTGATTATACACATCCTGCTCTTGGGGGATGTTTTGGACCAGGATGTAGAGTAGCATTTGGCTATAATTTTCTCGATGATACGAACGATCCGTATGATAATTGTGATGGACATGGAACTTTTGTAGCAGGAATTATTGGAGGTAATGATCTAAGAGATGACGGACCTGGATTTGTAGGCGTAGCACCTGATGTAATTTTTGGAGCATATAAATTAACTCCTTTGGATTGTCCAACAAATGATGAGGATGTCAATTATGAAGGCGTAATTATAAATGGACAAGAAATTATCGACATTATAGAAACCTTAATTATGAAAGCTATTACCAAGGCTGTCGATGATGGAATGGATATCATAAATATGTCTATAGTAAGTAAATCCTTTGTTAATAATAAAATAAATATAAAAAATTAAAAAAATATATTAACTATTAAATTTTTAAAGGGATATGAGGGTGATAATAGAAGCCCTCTTGCAAATATGATCAATGAGTTGTCTGTACATAGAGGAATAATATTCATAGTGGCAGCAGGGAATAAAGGCGCATTGGGCGTATTTACTAGCATGACGCCATCGAATATTCAAAATACTATTAGTGTTGCTTCATTCAGAACAGATAAAGTCGTTAATTTTAAAGCTTTTGATCCAAAGAATCCAAACTTTGTTATTAGTAAGTATATATTTATATTTATTTTAATTTGCAAAAAAAAATTCCATCTAAAAAAAAAGAATAAAAAAAAACGTACTGAAATCAATATCTTTGCTAATTATATAGACTATATTACAAAAGGTGCAATGGCATTTACGGTCCAAAGAGCTAAAGTTAAATTGCTTCCAATGGATAAATGTTTAAATGATTATAAAGAATTTAATAATGCAGTAGTTATCATAGATTTTAGAGGTGATATACCATGTTCCGATATACTAGATTATGTAAGTGTTCAAAGTTTATGTTGTATTATTATTATTAATTTTTATTTATAATTAAATAAAATAATGTAACTTTTATTAATATTAATCTATTTTTAGTTGGACAACGAAAACCTTAATCCACTCGGACGATTAGCAATTCTTCCTGATATCGTTGAAGGAATTGTATTGGACTTGGGAAATAACGCAATCATTGATTCGAGACAAGCCGATAGTTTACTTAATTATCTAAAAACAAATAAAGACTTGGAATTAGATTTTTCTGATAAGTATGGATACATGGAATTTGAACCATATTCCGTAGTTCCCTCAGTATTTTCAAGTTGGGGTTTGAGTGAAGAGTTTAATATCAAGGTAAGCAACATATATATCATTATTTTATGATAATATTATATATATATTTCATAAAAAAAAAAAAAAATAAATTTCTGTAGCCTGAAATTTCCGCACCCGGACAAATGATGATTTCAACCTTTCCAGTGGATTTGTCACCTTATGCAATAGAATCTGGAACAAGTTTTTCATCACCATATGTGGCAGGCATAGCAGCCTTATATATTGAAACATTTGGAAAGCAACAGTCTATCGAACAACTGAAAACTTCATTCATGAATTACGCTGTTCCTAATATAGATCGCAATAATTTACTAGCTCCGGTGTTGATTCAAGGCGCAGGACTCGTTGACGCTTTTGGAGTGTTGAAAGCCACCAGCTTTGTCTATCCTCCAAAAATTAATTTGAATGATTCTGTTCATTTTAATGGGCTTCAAAAATTAAATGTTTACAATAGCGGAAGAAAAGAGATGAAATATAAATTATCACACTTGCCAGCTCAAAGTTTTAATGGATATAATAAAACATTTGAAAGAAATTATTTAAACTTGGAATATTTTACAAACCAAGAACAATATGCTAGAGTTGTATTTGATTATGATCAAATTGCTGTACCACCTGGATCAAGTGTTGAGGTCTCTGTGTCTTTTACTTTGCCAAAGGAACTACCTAAGGATGGACATTTGTTTTATAGTGGATGGATTGAAATAATTCCTATAGATGAGAACATGCCTATGATGACGGTTCCTTATGGTAAATTAATTTTTTGCATATATCCACCATTTGAACATTCTAATGTTAATTTCTCAACCGTTTTTATTCATATAGCTGGGTTAGCTGATGATGCAAGATCGCTTCCAATATTTCAAACTCCATCATTTCCTAGACTTCTTAATTCAACTGAAGGTGCTATTACCGAGGAGGATCCGATTGAAACATATTCCTTAAAACCTTTTAACATTACTCTTCTCTTATATGATTATCCATTTTTAAATCTTAATCTTGCGACTCCAACACAAAACATTATCACCGAAATACTTGATGTTAATCGAAAGCCGTTAGGATGGGTTAAAGAATTTACTGGAATTAAATATCGAAAAAGTCCAGTAATAGTATTTGTTTATTGGGATGGACTTATTTATAATAATCTTGGTGATGTAACAGAACCTGGTACACCCGCTCCTGATGGAATATATTTATTTAGAATTAAAGCGTTAAAGATGTATGGTGATATTAATAACGAGAAGGATTATGAATCTTGGGTTAGTCCTAAATTTAGAATTAAGAGAAGTGCATAAAAATTCTAAAATTAATAGCATCATTATTCAAATGAGGTCGAATATGATGGATTAAGATATTTATTTCTAAATGAACTAGTAACTTAACTTGTTAAAAATAAATCTCAATTGTATTTGTATTGTATCATAATGGTTTGGTTATTCTAAATGTTTTTATTTATTTATTAAAAATGCATTATAAATTTTACATTGTCGATACAATTCGACATCAAGTACAGTACCTTCGAAATCGTCGAAATTATTAAGTCGCAACCATCACTTCTGTTTGAGAAATTTTTAAACAGATAATAAATCGTAACGAAGGTATAAGCTTCGAAAAGAAATGTTAATGGCATTTTCGGCTATTTAAAGATGTTGAGGTTTGGCAATTCTTTAACAAAATTAAATTTTACATATTTTGGCAAGAAAATAAAGTACCTTGTAAAACAACAGAACCCCAAATAAATCGTAAGGAATAGATGACAATTACTCTAGTGAATTGCCGATTCTTAATTCTGCCCGCACCAGTCACGTAATTTGATATTTTGATCGGTCACATTTTTTTCACATTTTATCTTCTACACTTCACTGGGATTTTTTCAGTTTTCTTACATTTCAACGATGTTTACTATAGTAATAAAAGATGATAACCTTGAGAGTACAAAGTCAAAAAAATGGAGATATTATAAAAAAAAAAATTATATTTTTTAATAAATAATTTATTTGCTGAATTAAAAAATATCTATTGTTAATACCAACTTTTTTTTTTTTTTTTACAAATTTGATATTACTTACTGCGAATTTTCAAACTATAACAGAACATGTTCATATCATTTGTAATAGCTTGTAATTTCAATTGATAATATTTTTTTAACACAATTGTAATATTAAAATAAACTCAAACTTCTAAAAAATTCCCACCAATATTGAACGTAATTTTTTTGGTTGAGAACTATGTTTAAGAACCGTTGTAAAGTAACTACGTTCATTTTTAAAAATGGGTTGAATATTACTTCTTAAAAGTCAATATTTACAAAAAATTTTAGATTCTTGAGGTCAATTCTTGAAATTTTTTTTTTTACAAAACGAAATATCTTAACGTAACTTTGTTCTTAAATACTATATATATTCTTGCTGTGAAAATTTGAAGGTAAATTGACGTTTCAATAATGAAGTGAATCATTTTGAAGTGTACTAACTAGCATCATAATAGACAGAATACCGAAGGTTCGCAAAGCAAACCAAATTTCTGTAAATATGCGAAGATCCACCCCCCCAAAAAAAATACTAATTCTTGCAGAGATGAATGATGATGAATTGCTATTGATCTATCAAAATATCCTTCAATCAACTAATGATAGAAAGGTATCCAAACTTAATTTTTTTTATTGTTATGTAACGATAAAAAATCTACAATATATAAATTTTTATAGTTAGCTGATATAGATTTGAATAATTATTCGGTGTAACACCCTAATTACGTATCAAATTTTTTTTACGTATTCCCAAAATCAAGTCGGTTGGCGTAAACTTGTTGTTTGTGATCGATACTTTATTTATATCGGCCTTTCAAAAAATCCAAATTCGGTCGGTTTCGTAACACTTTTTAATTTATAAAAAGTTGGCTTAATTAATTAAAATGGATTTACCCACTTTTATAAAAATGGAGGAACAGGTAAATACATATTTATGCATAATTGAATCAGGTTTCTTTGTTCAATTTTACAATACGATTATATAAAAAATAGATCGGAAGTAGTTCCAGCGAAAAACCGAATACTGCGTCCGGAACGAAATTGCATGAAATTATTTTCAACAATCATGTCCTTCACAAATTAGAAGAGGAAGGATTTATTACCCCGGATGAAAAAGCAAAAAAACTTTTAACAAAGTTAACCGAAACAAAATTTTTATATGCTCTAAAATTGCTTTTTGAAAACCCGCTTAATCAATTTTCGCCTCGAATTCTTAGGGATTCATTAGTTGAATTATCTGATCCGACACCTTTCGATTATTATGAAAAACAAAGTGAAGTTAAGTTAGAATTACACTTGCGCACATATGTTGCTGTTTTAGAACACATTTGCTTCTCACCAATGCGTTTAAGTAAAGAACTTCGAGATAGAGTTTACAACTCTTTGGCAATATTTTCAGAGGTTCATAGAAAAACAGTTCAGGTGATGCAAGAAGGAATTAATAATAACTTTAGATCGAGTTTCGATCAATTTAATCAACGAAATGATGATATAAACGAAAGAAATAACATTAAAAGGCGCAACTACAATATTGACTTTTTATTAATTCACTTACGGGATACATTACATAGCTTGCGTGATGACGAAACTTGGTATCAAGAAATTTTGAGGAGAGCTAAAGATTTGTTAAAGTCCGCTTTAAATATTACACCGGGAATTTTATCGAATGTGGCGCCCATTCCAAATGACAATAGTTCGATATTAAATTCGCTTACTCAATTGCGTCAAGGCCTGAGTTTTAAATATCCGGTGGCGTCTTATTACGTGGATCGGAGAATTATGTTAATAATCCAAAACAATTTGTTTAGATGGATGGAGGATAAAGAAAATATAATTAGTAAAAAATTTGGAGAAAGAATCTTGATTGAATACCTTTGGGGTTACTCAGAGATAGAATGGAATAATGTTGCTGATAAATCCATGCTAGATTCACAAACAAAGTTTGATGAAGTTTCAAATAAACTTGTCAAGATATTAAGCAATTCTGGAAGTTTCATAAATGATCTTGCCGGAAACGAGCCTCTTACATTACCAAATACGTTATGGTTTGGAATATTAGATCTTGCACAAAATCTTGTACTGAGGTCTACCCAAACAGTTATATATGGACTTTGTTATTATTTGGCAAATGAATCACTAACTAGAGCACCAAACAGTTTTATTCAATATAAAGCAGTCGAAATATTATTACACTTACAAACAATCAATAACGAATCATTTCCAATGATAGTAGACCTTGATTTTGATCAATATATTCAAAAATTAGAACCATATGCTTCAGGAAAATTTCAAAGCTTATTATCATTTGCTAGAGAAAAATATCACATGGATTTCAATTTACTAAACGATGAGATCGAAAATGAAAAAGGAAAAGGGAAAGGTGTAGATCAAAATAGGAAAGAAAAAATAATAATTTCTTTCAATATTTTAGACGTTATTGCAGATGAAATGGCTTGTCCGATTAGTAATGAACCAGAAGAACAATTATGTATCTTGAAATGTCAACACGTTCTTTCATTAAATAATTTAAACAAATTAAGGCAAAAAATTTGTCCTAAATGTAGAGAGATAATTGAAGAAAATAATATTAAATATTTATCACAAATGCTATTTATAAAAATTTATATTCACATCTTCTTGACGGAGGATATATTTTACCTTCAATTGAGTTAGAAGATTTTAATCGTAAAATAAATGAAAGTGATTCTGACAATTCGGAAGCTGATCATATTTTAACTAAAAAAAAGAAATTTTCTAATGAAATTAAAATTATCTCGAATAGATTACAATCAATATTTCAAATAACAAATATTATAAAAGAATTAGCAGATAAAAATTATAATAAAGTTATTCTAAGCTGATAAGATGCATTTTAGCATATGTATATAGGTGTCTTAATAATTACAAAAATGCACATTCATATTTAGATGAAGCTATTGATTTAAAAAGAAAAAATCCAATTGTACATTGCATTAAGGGAGAAATTTATTTCTGACAACATAAATATTGTGAATCATTTAATTGCTTATATAAATTAAGGATTTATAATATTAAATCAAAATCAAAATATTTAAATATCATACCTGGACATATCTATTTTTTTTTAGCAAAATCTAATTATTATACACGTAATTATAAATATGCCCTATATTATTATAATTTAGCATTAAAAAATAACATAAAAATCTATTCATGTTTAAAAAATTGTGCATATATTTTCGAAATTCAAGGAAAATATCTAAATGCATTGGAAATGTTAGATAAATTGCTGGATATTAATCAGAATGATTCACTAATACTATGCTATTATGGAGAAATACTTAATTATTTAGGAAGATATAATGATTCTATATCATACCTCACAAAAGCATATAATAATGATCCTGAAAATATTCATATCTTAATTAAAAGAGCTATTACTTATTTTATACTTCAGGATTATAAAAATTCACTATTAGATTTAAATAGGGTTAGATTCTTCGAATAGTTTTGCTTATTTTTATAAGATATTAATATATTATATACTAGGAAACAATTATAATTTAGAATTTAAAAATTGCTATTAATATAGTAAATTAACAAAACTATTTTTTAATTTTATGGAATATTTTTTACATGTTAAAAACATTCCATTTAATTTTTCGCATTATTTTGAATTACAATTATTTTATCAATATAAATTAAATGATGATGACCTTAATGATCTTGGAATTATTAATAAGATTAATAAGATCATGTATAAAGGTAAAAAAAAAAAAATAATCTATTTTTTTTATTCGTTTGAAAATAAATATAATTAATATATTTATCTTTTTATAGAAAAATATGTTTATTTTGTTTCAGATATTGTAAATTTGAATAATAAATTTCATCAGTATATAGAAAATAATCAAATTAGGTTAGTTTTTATTTTAATAATATTTGTAATTTATATTATTTAATATAATAATAATTTATGTTTGTAAATTAAGTTTTTCAGTACAAGTACTATATTTTAAAGTCGAAGCATATTCTATCAAATTACCTAAAATTTTTGAAAATTTTAAATTTAATTATAAAATAATTTTAAGAATAAATGTAAAAGAGACATAATCTAATGATTGTTTTATCAAAATTAATTATAATGTAAGTTTTTTAATATATTAAAATCCATATGTAACAAAATGTTTAATTAACATAATATGATTTTATTTATAGCATAGTTATAACAAATTGACATATATAGAATTATCAAAACTTGTTGGATTGGGTTGGATTGAATATAAAGTATTTGGTTCTAATTATTCTTTAAAGCAATTTAGCCTAATATGTGATTCCGTAATTATGGTATATTTTTATTTAATTGATTTCCTTTTATATTAATTTATTGTTTGTTTATATATCTTTATTTAAATATTTGAAGCAAATAGATTATATTCGATTGATACCAGATTTTGGTGCTGAACATAAATCTATTACAAAAATCAAAATGGAAAATATTTTGCCAATTTATAAATTTCATCCAAATGTTCCAGAATTTTTGAGGATAAGTATTTTTCGAGAAAAGAAATGGAGAATTGGATTGAATTAAATGATATCATTGGTAATTGACTAGCTATTATAATTATTTATATCTTAATTTGGTTCGAATATATAATATTATCAAAATTTATAAATTGATTATTAACATAATAATATATATAAGTAATGCGTTATTATTTTAATATATACAAATATTTATTTACTTTTTGTTCATATCTAGTTTACAAATTAATATAAAGCAGAAATTGGTTTGAAAATAAATATCTAAAAATAAAATAATACGATTGATGTTAATTTCTTATCTGGTGAATATGCCTGGCGAAATTGTCCTTACAATAAATTTAGTTTATATACGATGTGTTTTTCTTGTGGAACTATTCAGATTATTCAGGTCGTTCAAGATTTATACACGCAACATATTCCTTTTATTCATTATGATTATAATTCTCTCTCCGTCAAAAATTATTTTTCATTTGTTCAAGTTTTAATTAATTAGCATTTAATGATTTATATTAATTGATGGAATTTCGGAGTGTATATCATATTGTATAAATAAATTTTTTACATTATAATTGCTCTAAATAAAAACCTTTATCCGGTATCCCGTGATTTTTTATAATTAATGATGACTATAATAAATCGTTTATCAGGCAAAAAATCATTTATCAGGCAAAAAAAAATAATTATCAGGCATTAAAAATTGCATTAAATACTAATTAATAATATATAGAACAATTTGTATAATAAGTTTTATTTATTTTTCTTCTTTTTATTTGTATTTAATTCGGATGGCCTTTTATTTTTTTTATTTAATAGTTGCGAAGTCTTACTAAAACCATTGGATGACTATACAATTTTAAATTAAATGTCAATATAAAATCACATATAATATGTTATAATAAAATGTAAAAGTACTCTGTCATGTAATGCATCATCTAACTGGATTAAGAATCTTCCTTTGTTATTTTAAGAAAGTTACGCATTCCAGCTGATGAACTGTAACCTGAAATTGCCATTGCAACTCCAGCATCAAATATTGATTGAATTGCTGTAACACGTCCTGAATGATTAGAACTAAAAGAATGGTATAAACTTATCAGAAACCTTTAAACATCCTAATGGAAAAACAAATAAGACGCTATTATATGCTACTCTTGTGATGTACATGTCACAAGGAGGTTTTGTAGGCATATATCTGTAAAAAAATAGTGAACAATAGCTTAATCACGGGACACCGGATAAACCACTTATCCAGCACTTCGAGCCGAATAACCACCGCTACCTAATAATATTGGGAATCAAATTTGATTACCCAATATAATAGTTATTCGGCACGAAGTGCCGAATAACTATTAATTATACTAGCATTTCCTTTGTTTGAGCGCAATAATATGCTTGATGCAACTTGCTAGGCAAAATTAACTTACAATTTACCCTCAGTAAACGCAATACCTAAGATAAAATATTTCGCAAATTATTATAATTTTATTCTATTTTACCATGTTACTACAGGATAAAAAAAAATATCAAGATAGCTATAATTTATATTTATTAATTAATACTATGTAACGAAAACATTTTAAAAATTTATAAAGACCAAAGATCACGTTATAGAATTTCAGCTTAAAATATTTATTTTGTACAGTATAATTAATAGTTACTCGAATCTCGGGTTATAACTCGAGTAAGAAAACTATAACTAGAGTTACACCTAGAATAAAATCAAAAAATTTGAAAGGAACGCAAGTGTTGAAATTTTTATTCAATATGCTGCGGTGCTTTGATTCATTGTTTCATATGCCACGAACTTTAACGTCAAAATAAGAAACGTATCAAAATTAGTTTTCATCCATACTTTCAAAAATTCTGAATGCCTAGTAATTATATATTTTTTTCAATATGAAGCTTTGTTAACATTACAAAATAATAACGTTAAGGGCTTATTCAATATGCTCGAGTCGTAAAAATCCTGACACGGATCAAAATTGGTTTTTTAAATACTATTTGTCTGGTGATTAATGGATCTTAGATCCATCTTTATTAAAGTAACCTTGTATAATATTGTCCTAATGATGAAAATAATTATCTTTTCTTTATTTAAATTATCAAGAAGCCCTCAAAATTTCCAAACTTAAATAATTGATACCACATAATTCAATTAGGACCATAACACATTCGCAAAAAATTTATTAAACTTTACTAATATTATTTGTAATGAATCAAAAGCTTAATAAAAATTCAATTTAAAGTGTAAAAATCTCCATTTCCTCAATAGTAAAACTATTTGTATCTAAAATTTTACTTTCATATTGAGCTTGATTGCATGTGCCAGTATTATTATTGATAACCAAATCGGAATTACCAAAATTTAACGCCATATTTTGATAATTAGATTCATACATTGCAACACTTTCATTTACAACTCGACTAATCGTCAAATTTTTCAAATCATTACCATTACCTAAAGAAAAAATGAAACTTTCGGTAGTATTGGCCCAGTAATATTCATTAATATGTCCATAATTATTTCGACCAGAAAGCCCATAATAATAAGGACGAGGACGATAACCAAAACTACTATTACCATAATAATTATAATTAATATTTTGATGGTAATTCCAACCAAGAGGATTATAACCGCCAATTATGGTTCCATTTTCTTTAGTTTTTATAATCAAAATACATGCTCCCTTTCCATTACAAATATTACGTATAGTATTGATATCAAAGCCATCTCTACTTCCACGATAGATAAGATTAAAATTACATTTACTATCCTTTGAAATTTTCGCATTAGAATCTTTTCTTTGAATCCAATTTGTAAGGATAATCACATGTTTTGATTTAATGATCATTGAATCAATAGAAATTTTTTTATGACGAGGAACCGATTTATTTTGCATATCATCAGCATTTAACATGTGAAAGGAAACAATATCTTCAAAAATTTCTCGAGGTAACACCTTTTTAAAAGGCCAAATAAAACTATGAAAATCTTTTGAAGAAATGTCGAAAAATCGGATGTGTGTGATAAATTGATTCAAAGTATTCTTCAAAGCCAAGAAATCTTTTTTATTCCAAATATCTAAATTATTGGCGTCTTTTCCTCCCAGTTCTTTAGTTTGAGCAATTCCCCATTTAATAAGATAATTCCATAATTCAATTTCATCAATTTGTATATCATCTCTTTTAACCAATCCAAGTAGAATATTTTTTTCTAATGTTGGAAAATCTTGTGAATGAAAAAAAGGTATAGGATCATCACAAATGGTTTCTAAACAATAATTTTGAAGTTCTTTACGGCTATCTAATTGAAAAACGGAGTGAAGAACTTTGACGAAATTTTGTTGCAACCATTCGTTATGATTTTCAATTAAAGTTTTTTCTACAAATGTAACCAACTCTTCAATAAGAAATTCATCTGACGCTAAAAGAAGATCAAGGATATCTGAACCAACTTGTTTGCTCAAATCAAGAAGACCAGTATACATAAACCTAAACAAAGCAATGTTCTAACCTTAAATTCGTGATTTCAAACTAAAATTATTTTATCATTCATTATTCTTACCTAAGGATCATTTCAAAAACAGTAGGAGAAATATTTTGTTTAGTAAAGTCGATCATGTTATTCTTCTCTGTGACCAAATCCCGTGAAAGAACTTTTTTAAAATAAGTAGAACGAGCTCTCAAGATATTAGAATGTGCGTGAAATTTCTTTGTATTGGGATTCTTTCCAACTTTGATAATAATATCGTAGTCATCTGCATTTTCAAGCAATTGAGAAAAATTTTGAGATAAACCGGGGAAAAATTCAAAAGCCATTTCTAAATTTTTTTTTCGTTCATTCTAAATTTAAATTTTACTATGTTACGTAAGATCACTATTTACACTTTCACATGTATTAAATAAATTAAATCAGTATGACATTTAGTCCAAAGTCACGTGTTATTTGGTTATCATTTATGTATTAGCAAGTAATTTGAAAATAAATCAGTTGTTATCGTTGGCAAATCTCTATATGAATTGTAGGTGAGAAAAGAAGAAAAGCTAAAACGGCAACGAAGCTTCCTATGAAAAGGAAGTGTTCACAGAGTTCCAATGTTATTCTTATCGATTTTTGCGAGATAATTTATTTAGATATTGAAAGAATTTCCTAATTAAAAAAATTTTAACTGAATAAGTGACGGTAATATGTTATGTGATAATTCCGTTTTGTATGTTCTTTGGTTTATTTGTTATATTTGCTATATTAGTTAAAGTTTGCTTTACTCTAATAAAAGATTTTACATTTTTTAGTTATAGTTCGGAACAGTCGAACAGTTTCTGCACCAGTAATTTCAGATACAGTTGAAAATAAACTTTAATTTAGTTGCGTTTTTTGTCCCTTCAATAGTTACGGACGGGAAATTTTTCACCTAATGGTTACATTCGCAATAAAAGATTAAAATCAATTAAAAAGAACACTGTTGATATTGGTGTTTTAGATAGTAACCTCCTGTTTTTACCGCCAACTTATTTAACTAAAATGGTATATTACGAGTCATTCAAAAATACGTATTTCAAAGAGTCATCATCTTAGTGACAACAAATATTCCGAAAAAATAGACATTTATTAGGGTAAATAATGAAGATTAAAATTTTGGGCAATGATATGAATTAAGTATTTTTGAACTTATCACATCTGATGAATTATTAGGTACCTTCTTAGATGATTTCGGATATTGGCAAAAATATGATAATCAAATTTATTGTATATCAAAGAACGATTTATAAGTTCAATTATTTTTTATATTGTTGAAAATAATACATCATTTAAAATTTTTTCGATCCGACGACGAGAAATAATACATATTTCGCTTCGGCCGGAACGATTCTCTCGGTTTCTCTTCGGTTCTGCTTCGGCTCTCCTAAAGTAAATTAAGACTAGGAGCGTCAAGTTAAATTTATACAAATTGAGCATGTTATGTTGTTCAATTAAAAAAAATATTTTGACTGGTTATCAACAAATTCGGTATAAAAAATTATTAATAAATTAATTTTATCATTTGCTCTATTTGTTACTTCGGATACTTTTGCAATAGTCGGAGCAATTATGCGTTTCTATTTGGTATTTATATTCTAATTAATATATTAGTGCATCATTATTTTATTTGCTGGTCCACCAAACCATGAAGATTATACATAAAAATTTCTACATAGAAAATACGTAAGAGGTTGTACGAGAGATTTTAATAAGTTTATCAAACTGAACATGAAAAATTCGTATCAATGGATGAACATTAAATGAAATAAAAGAATTTTTAAACGAATTTATAAAGGACCACGTATGAATGTAGATTCGGTTACTCTAGATGACAAGATTGAGATAGGAATGTTGTATAAAAGTCAGAATTATGAGTGGGATGTTAATAGTCACGGTCATAGCCGGTCATCTTTGACCGACCTATTTGTACCGATTTTTACCGACTCATGCTTTATTGTAATTAATAACCAGATAATATACCTTACCATTTTATTATACTACTAATTTGAATTTCCTCAATCATATGCGTTAATTTTAAACTTGAAAATCTTTATATATTGTATTAAGAACGTACTTGATTTTTTTTTAAATCGATGAACGTAATTTAACTACATATTTTGTGACCATTTTATAACTTTGTTTAAGACTACGATTATGATTGAGGCAAAAATAAAAAAATAAGATTTTATAATTAAAGAATCGTGTCTTTTTGTTAGTTTTTTTTTTCCGAATCAATAAAATAATAAGATTTCGTAAATTAACGCATTTTTTCATAATTTTGAGTGATATCTGAAGGAAACTGAGCTTTTTCGAATTGTTACTTTCCATATTCTCTGCACTAAATCAGTGTGTTGGCATTCGGCCACGGCCAAGAAATTTTTTGGCCAAATAACTAGGTATTAATAAATGTATTAATATTTATTAGAAGTTGATTGGCATTTGGCCGCGACCAAGAAATTTTTAGCCATATTGGTCGGCCAAATTGACCAAACTGTCAAAGAACAACACTGCACTTAAGTAGCGGACAGAGTGTGCTCAATTCCAGTATCGTTTCTTAGAGCGGATAAATTGGATTGCGAAATTTAGTCTTGTCTTTTTGATTCAATACATTCTCCCAAATACAAAAGCTGGCTGCAACTTAAATCGTATAGTGTTTTGAGGATGACTGCCAGCAAACTAGTTTCGTCTAATTAGGTCTATAAAGTATTTCGACCATGTAGGGCAAAAGTTCATCGGGCGAAAGTTTCGGATTTGTGAAAATTATTTCGCCCGGAATACTAAATTATTGCGAATGATTCAGAATGTTGCTGCTTCTTGCAACGTCACTAAAAGTATTCTAACCGTCTGTTGCATAATCTAATTCATCTTTTAAAAGATAATCCTTTACTATAATTGATGTCAATTTTTCATAATTTCGTCAAAAATTTACCAATATTAAATCTGTGTTATTTTATATTTTTAATCGTAATTATAGGTTTTTAAATAAAGTTGTGTATCGATGATGACCCATCAGACGTGTGATAAGTTAAAGTCAATTCATTAATTTTACCTATATGCAATCCTCCGCGTCAAATTATTATTTTTTAATAATTATCGATGAAAAAATTATGTAATATGAAATTATAAATGCTGTTCGCAAAAGAAAATTATATATAAAAAAATAAATAAAAAATTGAAAAAATGAGATTCCCACCGGTTGCAAAGTATAAAAATATGAAAATTATTCATTTGAAAACTCATGATTTATGACTGAATCTAAACAAATAAATCATAGACAACGACAATTTGGTCACATTCCTTGCTATGTTTAAGCAATGCAATTAGAGGGATGTCCAACTTCTTGGGACCACCTTTGCCTTGTAATCCAAGAAATAATTTTTCGTTAAATACAGTATGTATCTTGATGAATATGTATGTCGAAGGCCTTTTTCATGAGTTTTGTTTTTAAAAGAAGATACGTTAAGAAATTTTATTTAAACTTATAGTTAAATTTTTTTTTTTTAAGTTGAAATAAATTTAAGATTGAAAAGCCTGCGTCATTAATTTATTTTCTTAGCGCGATGGACCTATCCACAAATTCAACTTTTGGTTAGTTCAGTTTCTGTTTTTTAAGATATTTCTACCAAAACAGGCTTAATTATTCAGATAATTTAGAGGCGTCGATCACGGCGCAGTGATCATACGAACTTGTGCCTCTTTCCTTTATTTTAGGTTACCCTTTCGGGTTGGACCATTTATTAGATAATTTGGTGTATATTTTTATTTAAAAAATTGTTTGATATTAGTTATTTTCGCGGGCCATATCGATTGATTGTTCTAGCACATAATAGGCAAGTTTCTTTCTTTTTTATATTTCCTTTGATTATATATAAGATTTTTTATTTGCAGTTTCATGACATAGACTTTTATTATTCTTTTTTAGGCGACTTCATTCATCATCAATTGCATTGGTAAGAAAGTTTTTATTCATAGGCTTTTTTTTGTTTTTATTGAATTAATACTTTCTTTTTTTTCTTTTTTTTTATTTAAAAAAAAAAAAATAAATAAATATGTATAAAAAGAAATCTCTTCCATCTCTTTTATTGCGTCACATGTATAACTCGGAAAACCTTGTAAACTAATAGATCAATTGATTGGAGCAAAACACATTCGATACAGTTATTGAGATGCGTTAATCAAAGTAATGGAGTATATTCAATCAAGAACATGGATATTTTTCGTTTATTAAAACAATAAATAAATTGAAGTCGTTTTCAAACAATAATGGTATATTAACCTTTATATTATAATCCTGTGATAAATGAGAAATGCCATAAATGATGATAGAAAACCTTTAATGATATTAATTTCTAGAAATTTCTTGATTGTTAACAATCAGATTATGTGAAAGTTTATCATATATTTACTTATCAAAAGAAACGTAAACATGTAAAGGGTTAAATGTCTAGGCGAGAATATTCGATTTGGAAGGATAGTTATTGAGACGTTGAGTATTTTAAAGATACGGGACTGATATTCAATAAGGAATCGGGTAAATTTGGTAAGCTAGTTATTGAAGTTTCTTTACAGTCAAGTTCCGTTAAGGAGTTGGGTAAACTTGGTAGGATAGATATTGGAGTATAAGAGCAATTAAGTTTTATTAAGGCGTTGGGTAAACTTGGTAGGATAGTTATTCGAGTAAAATAGCAATTAAGTTTTGATAAGGAGTTGGGTAAAGTTGGTAGGATAGATATTTGTGTATCAGAGCAATCAAGTTGCGTTAAGGAGTTGGGTAAAGTTGGTAGGATAGATATTTGAGTATCAGAGCAATCAAGTTCCGTTAAGGAGTTGGGTAAAGTTGGTAGGATAGTTATTGGAGTATAAGAGCAATTAAGTTTTATTAAGGAGTTGGGTAAATTTGGTAGGATAGATATTGAAGTACCAAAGCAATAAAGTTCCATTAAGGAGTTGGGTAAACTTGGTAGGATAGTTATTGGAGTATAAGAGCAATTAAGATCCGTTAAGGAGTTGGGTAAACTTGGTAAGCTAGTTATTGAAGTTTCTCTACAGGAAAGTTCCGTTAAGGAGTTGGGTAAAGTTGGTAGGATAGTTATTTGAGTATAAGAGCAATCAAGTTGTGTTAAGGAGTTGGGTAAACTTGGTAGGATAGATATTTTGAATATCAGAGCAATCAAGTCTTGTTAAGGAGTTGGGTAAACTTGGTAGGATAGATATTTTGAATATCAGAGCAATCAAGTTGCGTTAAGGAGTTGGGTAAAGTTGGTAGGATAGATATTTGAGTATCAGAGTAATCAAGTTGCGTTAAGGAGTTGGGTAAACTTGGTAGTATAGAGATTTGAGTATTAGAGCAATCAGGTTGCGTTAAGGAGTTGGGTAAAGTTGGTAGGATAGATATTTGAGTATCAGAGCAATCAAGTTGCATTAAGGAGTTGGGTAAACTTGGTAGGATAGTTATTCGAGTAAAATAGCAATTAAGTTTTGATAAGGAGTTGGGTAAAGTTGGTAGGATAGTTATTTGAGTATAAGAGCAATCAAGTTGCGTTAAGGAGTTGGGTAAACTTGGTAAGCTAGTTATTTTAGAACGATAAAAACTGAGTTTAGTTAATTTTCGATATCTTTGTAACCCTCCTAAGGCGTTTAATATGTCATCCCTATTAAATTCCGTAATCTGTAAACTTTCAATAGTATCATCATAAATAATATCTGATACTCCGACATAATTCTGACCAGCCAAATAAATAATTTCAGAATTATTTGGTACATAATTATTCTTTTGATAATTTATTTGATCAAATCGAATAATTTGAGATGTTTCTCCAAATGTATTATTTATGCTAGAAGAAGTATCGTTGTCATAATTATTTGTCTGTTTATTCTCTTCTCTGTTAGTTATCGTAATAATTGCATTTAATTTATCAACTACTTGACTCATTAATGGACGATTATCTGGATCATTATCCCAACACCCTGAAATTGGATAAAAATTTTAAAAATCATATTTTATAAATAAAATTCATAATCATATATTTACCAGTGTAAATGTTCACATAGTTTTCGGGTGTGCCGGGAATGGTCTTTTCTCTAAGTCCTCCTGAAATTTCGATAGCTAAATTTACATCGTATTCTTCATCCTTAAAAGGAGGATATCCGCTTGATATCTCCCACAAAAGTACACCAACACTGTAAACGTCGCTCTTTTCATTAAATTTAAATTGTGGAGATGTATTATCATTTCTTCGTCTGTTAAAAATTTTTGGGTCAACATAAGGAATTACTCCAAAAACTTTTGATTGACTAGTTGCTGCTTCAATTCTTTTCGATAATCCAAAGTCGGCTAGTTTAATAACGCCTTGATGAATTAGTACATTGCCGGAATGCTATTATATGCATATAAAAAAATTAATTGATTTTTAAAGCAGAACATTCAGAAGAAAATACATGTTATGTAAAAATTACCAAATCACGATGCACAATTCCTTCGTTATGTAAGCACAACACAGCAGGTATGGTGACCTATGTATGTATGTAATGTATGGCGATGTATAGTGATGTACATACATCGGTACTAATTAAGTTAAACTAGAGTTTGCGGTTTGCGGGGACTTCGTCCCCCATTTAGCATTAAATAATTGATCGCGTAACCAATTCAATTAAACTTTAAATTTCATTTATGAAGAATAAAAATATAAAATCAAATTTTTGAATACATTTAATTATATTGATAAAAAAGAAGTTTAATTTTTATTGATTAAATTAATTTTTCTAAATAATTTTCTTTGCAGTTATTAATTTTTATTTTAATTTGTATTTTATTTTAATAATTGATTTTTTTGATTTTAGATTTAATTTTTTTTTCGATTATAGATTTACATTTTTTTTTAATACATGCAATTTTATAATAGATTTTTTAAATAGCAAATTAAAAAAATATATATATATAAAAAATCGTGGATATTAATTAATTAAAAAATATTATTTAAATTTAAATTTTTTTTTTTTAATTTTTTTAATTTTTTTAAATTGTTTTTTAACCTTATTTAATATTCTCAAATATTTTTTTTATTAATTATATTATATTTATTAATTTTTAATAATTTAATAATTTTTTATATTTTAAAATTAAATTTTATTTTTTAATTTAATTTTTTATTAAGTTTTTTTAATAAGCATTGTATATACATTTTATTCTAACTAAATTTAAATAAAATGATTAAAAGTCATTAAATGGCATAAAAAGTGAATTCATGTATCATTAGCATTACGAACTCCACGAATATCAAACACACCTTGACAAAAATTGAGATTTGAGTATTTACGGACCTTTCGAACAACTTTACTTACTACGAAAGGCGATTTACTTGGACTAAAGTACCAAAATAATGAAAATAATGCAAAACGTTAATAAAAGTGAATTTGTGTATCATTAGCATTACAAACTCCACAAATATCAAACCCACCACCTTGACGAAAATTGAGATTCAGGTAATTTCGAACTTGCTGAACAACTTTACTTAAGGTATCTTTATATGTTTTATTTGACCAAAGTTTCTATATTTTACCTGAATAAAAAAAAGTAAGAGAATTTTTTTTGCAAAAAATACTACTTTAAAATTTTTTTCTGTAGTCTGAAATGTCAAAATTGTTGATAATTAAACGGGCATATTATATTTGATTTTATTTTGATATTTTTTTAAAAAAAAAAGATCAGATCGATTACAGTATTTACAAATATACAAAAATTTTGTAACACAAAATAACAAATTGATAAAATACAAAAAATGTGACGCAAATAATAATTTTTATGCTAAAGATATTTTTTAACGAAATAAAATGGATCGACAAAGATTAGCAAAATCAATAAAAATATATTTTATTTAAAATATGATGGTTAAATTTAACACAAAAGTGCCACAGGAAAGCTTAAATCTCAAATTTATTCTTATGATAACATAGTAGCATAGTTATAGCTTATAAAACAGCTATATAAACTTCAAATTCGATGTTCACGAGATGCATTACCAAAATCAATCAAAATATATAGAGATTGCTAAAGATCTGTACAACTAAAGAACAAATTAAGCGAAAAAGTGAATAAATGCAGATCATCAAAAATTCATAACTTCAAAAGTATACCTTCGTCAACAAAAATCGTTTCGTGGAAAAGTCTTTTTGATGTTAACGGTAAATTTATTTTATTTTCAAAGAGAAACAATGCTTTTATTTGTATTTAAGCGGTCTTTTTAAAGTCAAATAAATGAAGAAAGCTTAAGTAGGATTTGTTTAGTAAATAGACAATTAAATAAAATAGATTATTAATTAAATATAATTAATTAAAAAAAACAATATTACTGTAGCTTATTACCGTCTAGAACTGCATCCCTTTTGACCGTACCCTATTTTAAAAGATCCGGGTACTAATTAACCTCTCTAAATGCCTATTACGTGAATAACTTTAATAAATGATCGGATACCTTCTTGTAAATATCATATCCTTCTTGGTTAAAACGAAGTTTTATAACGAATTTATGTTAAATATTTTTTTTTTTAAAAAAAAAAAATCTATTACTTACTTTTTATAGATACTGACTTCTTCAATCATTGTCAATCCTATTTAAAAAGTATTATTAAATGATTTCTTTTTGTTTTGTAAAAAAAAAAAAACTAATTAAAATTAATTTACCTTGTAAGAAATCCAATTCTTCAAAGCATTGGATCATTCAGAGATAAGCCTATATTAATATTTTTTAAAAAAATTATTAACTTAAATTACTTTACCTTTTTATAGATATTAGCTTCTTATAGTTTGAATGTAAGTCTTATATAAAAAAAATATATATATATTCTAATAAGAATTTTTTTAAATTAACTAATGACATTACTTACCCTTTTGTAGATTACCAGATTCTTTAATCATTGATCGCTTGGAGGTAAGTCCTATTAATAAAGTTTTATTATTTGATTTTTTTTTGTTTTTTTTTTAAAAAAAGTCTTATCAAATTTATTTACCTTGTAGGATATTCGATTTTTCAAAATCTTTGATCATTTGAAGGTAAGCCTAGCCTATAAGTTAATGTTTTTTTTTAAAATAAATCAACTAACGATATTACTTACCTTTTGTAAATATCAGATTCTTCAATCATCAGATCATTTGGAAGTAAGTTGTTAAATGATTTTTTTTTTAAAAAAAAAAAATCTAATTAAAGTTTATTTATCTTCTTGTAGATATCAAATCCTGAATTATAATGAGATAAGTCTATTAAAAAAGAATTTGTTAAATTTTTTTTTTAAAAATTAAATCAATCATAAATGGTAACAGTATTAACTTCGTAAAATCTTATTTCTTTTAAACTTTAAATTTTATGAAAAATAAAATAATATCTCCATATATAATCTACTTATAAATTCTATTCATTTTCATATTTCTTTTTTTGTTGAATATTTGCTAATTCTAACTTTTCAGCTTTAACTTCTAATATTCATACTTCTGCTTCAGCAACTTTTGTTTTAATAAGATATTCTTTTAATACAACTTTTCTTTTTTCAATTCTAATTTAAGTAACTTATCATTTCTTTCTTTATGTTTATTTTCTAATAAGATAACATCTTCTTGATTATTTCTTTTTGGTAGATTTTGCTTTTTCTCTTGGGTGGATTTGTTGAATTAGTGTTATTTTTAGATTCTACACACATTATTAAAAAAAAAAAAATAAATTTATGTAAAATTAATCAAATTATATACTTTTTACCTACTTTTGCATGTTAAAGCTGTTTGCATTTCACTTCTATCCTAATAGGTATTAAAAATATCACTTTTATTATAAACTTCAATTGTTTTATAACTACTTATTACATTATTTTAGTATGGTGATGATCAGATCATTGACGTTTTAGCTAATATTTATTTTATACTATACTAGATTTTTTCTTCATAATGAGACCACAAATGAAAGATTTTTAAATAACAAATAATTCTTTTAATAAAGAATAGTAAATTTATCTTTATTGTTAAAATTAAAATAATTAATTAATTTATTACGTATAACTAAAATTAGTTGATGCAAATAATTATTTAATTAATAATGAATTATATATCTTATCATTATATCTATAATACAATCAAAAATTGTTTAAATATTATATAGAAAATCTTATTTTTTAACAATATAATTGAATTTCTCTTATTATTATATTATTGTTAAAATTTTTTGATTATTTACTTAATATTTTATAACCTTTTTATTTAATTATCTAATTTATAGTTGTTTTTCAATTTTTTCTAAAAAAATACAAATAAAAAGGTAATTATTTACAAACTTTTGTTTTAATTTTTCAAATAAAATAAATAATAAAAATATCATCATCAGTAATTATATTATGCTAGATAGAATCTAAAAAGTTGTATAAAGAATTTATTAATAGATCAGTAAGTTACAAGATTTCTCAAAAAATATCAAAAATTTTTTATTTTTTACAATAGATTCTATGAAAAACAAATCTCTTCAATTTTGCATGATTTAGAAATTAATGATTATTTATTAATATATGGAAGATGTATTTTTGATAAGGAAAATATACATTTTATTATATATAATTATAATAAATATAATATATTAATATATTAATTATACAAAAATATAATTAAATTAGGATGATGATTTTAATATTATTTAAACTGAATCTTCTAGAAATCATAAACATTACTAACTGAATTATATATTTCTTTTGTTAGAAAAATTTATTCAAAACTTAAGCAAGATTATAATAATTATATAATCAGAATTAATGTTAATAAATATAATAATTTCAATTTTACAAATAAAGAAAAGATAAATTTTAAAATACAAGTTATATATAAAGTTAGATCAGAATTTCATTTTAGAAAACTTATACTATTATTACAAGTTAGAAAAACAATATATATCACAGGTTTATTTGATTTTAATGATGTAAGCATTATTATTTGCTATTTTCGTAATATATTTATATATTTAAAATTACATTTAGTATTTATATTAAATATAATATGTAAAATTCAATAAATCTTCTTTATATTATATTATAATTAATACTTTAGTAAAATTTAAAACTTGTCTACTCATCTCAAATATAAAGGACTTAAAAAAACTGTTTTTATAGTATGTTTCCATAGCATTAAAATAAATTGCTTTTGCTAACTGCATATTTTAAGAATTTTTTTTTTTAAAATTAAAAATTTTAGCCACAGCCACAGTTAAGTTTATTAAAAAGATTTTTCTAGATTTATAAATAACAATTTTAAATATTCGTTTGTTAATTTTTAAAAAATTGAATTTTAATAATATATACAAAGTTAATCAATTTAATATGCCATTTGGAATTTTTACAGGAGTAAACAATTTTGGTCAAAGTATATGTTTTGCTAGAACTTTAATGTGTCAAGAAATAATAAATAGTTTTATATAGACATTTAAATTATTTCTTAAAATGATTAATAATAATCTACCAAAAGTAATATTTACAGATAAAGATAAAGCAATTTTTCAAACTATACAAAATGTTTTTGGTCAAAATAGTAAACATGTATTATGTATATAGCATCTTTGAAAAAATGTAATCAAAAATTTATGTAGTATATTAGGAGCAAATTGGCATAATTTTACAAAAGCATTTTATGAATGTACAAAAGAATATGAATTTGATAATTTTATAATCAAATGGCAACAACTTTAAATAGACTTTCCAGATTGTAAAGCATATTTAAAAAGAATGGATAAAGTAAAAGAAAATAGGCATCTTATTTTAATAGAGATATATTTTTAGCAGATATGACAAGTACACAACGCAGAAAATTAATGAATAGTCTTATAAAAAATTATATGAATGTAACCAATTCAATTTTGGATTTTTTAAAAGATTTTGAATCTGCACTAGAATAACATGATATTGATTTACAATTATTTAAATATTGGCAAAATTAATTTAATGTTATTTTAAAAATAATGAGTTCATTTGAATATCAAGCAGCAGAAATATTAACAAGTTATGTATTAAAGTTAACATAAGAGCAATTATTACAAGCATTTAATTATTCTTATATAGAATTATTTGATTTAAAGTATTTTAATTATAATGTATTTTTATTTTATAAAATTTATTTAATTTAATTTAATTTATTTTTAATTATTTAGAACTCAAAATATTCAATTATTTCATGTTCATCGATTTAATCTTAATTACAAATCTGAAAGAAAAGTACAATATGATCAATAACAGCAATTATTTTTGTGTTCATGCAAACATACAACTTTTTCTAGAATTATATGTCAGCATATATTTTATGTAGTAACACAAATAAATTTAAATAAATTGTCAAATTCACTATTTTATTAACACTGGCAAAAAGATCCAAATAATCTTGTTTTAACATAACAATTTAATTTGTTTTGTGGTAATGATATAACAAAACATTTGGGTTTCTCAGAAATAGAAATTTTTGAAGACTATGAATATTTGTTGAACAAAAACTTTTTATGAAATAAAAAGTTTGATAAAAAAGTATTTAGAATTATCCAAAGAATTTTATTTTACAAATAATGCTTTGTTGGAAAATAAATTAAAAATTATTCATCAAACTTGTCAAACAAAAGGTAATACTTTATAAAGTATAATCAATAATCCTAAAAGAATAATAATTTTTTAAAAAAGGTATTTATAATTGATATTTTTTAGTTTATTGATATTATAATATTATCTTATTTTATTAATTTTAAAAAATTTAGATTAAGGAAAAAAAATTCAATAAAGCAAAAAAATTTAATTGCTAGTGGTAGTGATAGTGGTAGTGGTTTATCAGTACAAGAAAAAGAAAATATTACAAATTATCGAAAGGATGATTATGCATTTAATATGCTGAGCCTAATATATGAAGTATTTTAAAATTTATCACAGATATCCATAACTGAATTAATAAATATGGAAATAGATGATATAAATGCTAAAAATAAAAAAAAGGTATGTTTATTTTATAAAACTTATGAATTTTAAATATAATGATATTAATAATTCTTTTTTTAATACTTTTAGATGAATTATCATGTCTTTTTTGTAATCAACCTTTACCTAATCCTTTACCGAAAAAATTACTTGAATATTTAAAAATATTGCAAAAAAAAGTAAATTTTATATTTAATTTATTTCTATAATAATAATATTGATTATATTAAAATATTTGATTTCTTTAGAAAAAATATTAGAAGTCAATCATGTAGAGTTTTATTTTATGTATTATGCAGAAACAAAAATTATTCCATTAAGTATAGAGGCGGGTTATTCAACAAATATCAATTTTGAAATTTTATCAAATCGGATTAGTAATATTTAAGATGATTTATTAGATATTATTAATTGTAAATTAACAAGTTAGTTTCACAATTTTTCATTATCTGTTTATAATGAAATTAGATTTCAAAAAGCAAATACATCAATGATGATAATAAAAAGAAGTAAAGAATTAAAGAGTAATATTTAATTTATAAATATATTTTTTTATAATATATTTTAATACATTTGTTTATTAAATTTATATTTATTTTTATTTTTACAGCTAGGATATTATGGTTCTAAAGGTAAAATAATTATCACAGAAGTTTTGACAATTTTGTTTTTAAAAATAAATATTTTAACATTTAAAATAAGTAAACCTTTAAAACCAATTAATTATTTACATGAAATATTAGTTTCAGAGGTAATTATTAGACTAATAGTTCAAGATTTTAATGGAATTTATCATTAGAAGAAGTAAGAAAAATTATGAAAACAGTGCAGATTTTGACGCATATGTATATAATGATTAAATAATTATTATACTGTAATAAAAAAAAAAGTTCTAATTTTTAAATTTTTATATAAAATTTAAGTTTGCAAATATTTTATATTTTATCACAGAAGTTGTGTAAATACAATATTAATTTTATTTATAAAAATAGTATAAATTATATAATATTATACAATCAATTTTCATCCAATAAAATTCGTTAAAACTTATTATATACCCTAACATAAGTTAAACATCTACACCTCTAGTGTAGATTAAGGATGCCTAAATTTTTAAATATAAATCACGTGATATATTGATTAATATTTTTATTCTCTGTGGAATTACATGATAATACATACTTTTTAACTGCATACTCAATTTATTTTGCATTTAATATTTTTTTATATATATCTATATAACAATAACATATGCACAAATTTGTTTAATAGAAATAGAATCAAGTGCTTTAGGAATAATTTGCTTAAGATCCGCCTATGTATAATTGCAATATTGTCATGCAGTAATCAGAAGATGAAATAGTAGATAGAAGGAATTTTAAGATAGCATTATTAATGATAAAAAAAATGTATTATATAGCTATAATATGTTTTATGATAGCATTCTTAACTTGTTGTACTTATAATTTAGTATATATGAGTGTAAAAAAATCAATAATATCTTTATAAAATAAATAAATATAATATGATCAACTGTAGTATACATGTTTTGAGATCAAAAAGAATAATAATTAAAACTTTTAAAGTTTTAAAAAATAAAATGAAAATGAATACGCAATTCTAATTATGAAAATTGTAAATTTTATAACTATATAATTTAAAAAAAAAGGATAATAAAAAAGAACTAGAATACTAAAACGATTTAAGGTATATGGTCTTTATGGTATCTATAATTTTCTGCAGTAATATACAATATATAAGGCCTACCTGATTTTCAGCAGAGGATTACAAAAGTAAACATTTCACTGATTCAATGTTACTATAACATTCTTTTATATTCATTTTCATCAGCAGCTATTGCTGATTGGATTATTATATCAATCATATGGTATTCCATAAACTAAAATTTTTAGTTATTTTTTTTGGTATACTATAATGAAGAAGATCATCAATTTTTTTGCTTTAGAGGTATATTCTTCACATAGTGATATTAACAGTTATTAAGGACATCCCATTGCTTTAAAATTTTTACATTCCTAACAAAAAAGGATGTTAAATAAGTAATGCCATCAAAAGAAGGGAATATGACAGAAAGGTAAAAAGATGAAAATAAAACAGAAGGGAAAGAAGAAAATAAGAACAATACGAAATAGAAAATGACATTACATGATTTAAATCTATCATCCTGCAGATTTCATTATTAAAAATATTAAATTTTAATTTTATTGCAGATCTTTAATTGCAAGAAAAATCCTTTGATTGAGCATTAACTCAAGTTATAAGTAGACAGACATCAAGATACTTTTATATCACATTGTTTAATCCTATATAATCCTTTACTTCACTTTGAACTAATTAATTTCATATTTTTTTCAAATTATAATCATTTTAGAATTTTAGAATTTATTTGAAGAGAATTACATGATTTAATACTTGGTATTGATGGTATAGATAATGAAGTCAATTCAGATATAAGAATAATCTCAGATCTTTATTCATGTTTAAAAACTCATCTTTTCTAATTTTCCTGATTGAAAATATTTATGAAAATGTCATATACATTATAATTACTAAAATGACATGTATATATTTGATAACAAATTGAATATTATTTATATTATTTGATATAATTTCTAAAAATGAAAATAAACTTTAATTCAGTACACAGTATTGACTTTATTAATATGATTATTAGAAAGAATAAAAAGATTTTTAGAAGGTGTATTATAATTAAGATGTTTAAAGATTTTATGATGACTTTAACCACTTTTTTTATATTTTATAGTTGGATAAGATGGATATGAAAAACATTCATTTGAAGAAACATGTGTAGAATTCTTATTATAATGTACTCTTCTTTCATGTATTTTAAGGCTATTAATATTTTTAAATCTTTTATTATTATAAAGAGAATATAAATTATTGGTATTTATAGATCTAACAGTTTTGTTGATTGAATGACAGTATTAAACATCAAATTTGACGCATTATCTACAAAGGAAAAATTAGTTAGATGCAAGTTGAATAAAAAAACTTTTTTGGATTCAATTTTGACAAATTTAGTAATTAAATACTAAATTTGGTGACCAATTTTTGTGATAGGCATTGCACTAAATTTGGTGTTAGCTTAATTTTATAAATCTGCTGCAATGCTTTATTATATTTATATTTTATATAAATATTATATATTATTACTTTAACAAAAGAACAACATCAGAAAATTTTTCAGGAAGATAAACATTAATGTAAAGTCATATAATATTACATCGAAATACTCAGAGATGTTAAGTATTAGTGATAGGGATAAATGTCGATTAAATAACTAACTAGTTTAATATAATTTTATTTTTATATAATTAAATGACATTATTATTTAAATAGCGTTAAATTATTTAGTTAAATAATATTAAATTATTTATTGTTTAATCTTGTAGTTTTTATTGTATAAATAAATCTATATTAAAATCTAAGTAAAACTAACGCTAAAAAAAAGTAATAAATGAAGCAAAAATGTCACCTACAATTCTATTTAAAATTTTGCTCAAAGAAATCTACATAAAGGAAAAATAAAAATATTAATAATGTTTTATTAAAAATGCAACAAAAAAAAAGCATTTCAAAAAATCTGTTCATTTCTGATCGTTCGGGTTTTTAATCACAAAATCTGTTAACCAATCCAAACATGTGATCAAACAAAGAAAATGTTTTGAAATTTACCTTTGAAATGCTTTATAGATTTCATCCCAAAGAAAAATAAACAATTGTTTAAATAAAAGATAAATTTTGAAAATAAAGAATCTGAAAGCCTATTAAAGGAAGAATAATAAATGTTAATAAACATTTTATTATACATTAAAATATTTCAAAAATCTAACTTTGGAAATGACCACCCTGGAATCTACAAAAGAAAAAAATGATAATGTTTCATCAAAATACAAAATGAATTTAAAGTATTATCTTTGAAATAGGCGTCTAGAAGCTACAAAAAAAAGAAAATGACAATGTTAATGATCGCTTATAATCATTTTCAAGAAATATATATTTTGACAAAGGCTAAAGAAAACAAAAAAAATATATCAAAGACTTACCTTTGAAATGAAAAGCTTTTTTTTTGAATTGGAATACTCCGGATACTAAAATGAGATGCAGCTATAAATGCAAAGAAAATGATCAGCCGAAGTTTATATATGATATACAGTATGCTATGCTTAAACTTCAGCTGCAACTGAAAAGCTTGTATTACGTCTTTATTAGATATTTGAACTATTCAATAAAACTAAACTTTGAAAAATTTTTCCGGAATTCTTAATTGGATAATATTTGAATTTATTATGAGAATAATTATAAAGATAAAGCATGTTGTGACGTATTTACCAATAAATTTTTGTGATAAAATATCAACAGATCAATAATTTCTCATATCTGCAAAAATCTTCTCATATTAATAAGAAAAAAATATAAGATAATGAAAACAATATATATAGATGAATATATATAACGAGATGATGAGATAAAACAAAAATAAAATGTGATGATGATGACGGTAATGATGATAAATAAATCAATAACCTCAACTATTTTAGAAAAGCCACTGTTAACTTAAATAAACCATTTTTAGTGTGGGTTCATTTTAATGTAAATCCATTAAGGCATTAATCATTTCGGAAAGTCTTTATAATGTCAATAACTGGTTGGAGTGATTAATGCATTGTCATAACAATATTGTTTTTTTCAATAATATAATTTTCGTTATTTAATTTGTGGAATTTTTTCATTGATTATAAATTATCAATAATTAACATATGGATTTTTATCATTATTTATCTATTTCGCAAATTATTAACAATTATTCCCCTGATTGACATCTAAATTATTATGCATAATAATTCGTATATATTTTCATTTATGCACGCATAAATCATTTGCATAATCACGTAAATGACAAGGCAGGGGATAAACCAGTTATACTCTGGGTTAGAGGATGAATAGCTTATTTTACTAGAATCAAAAATGATCAGCCTAACGGCTGAATTAAGAGAGTATAACCCCTGAAAAAATGTCCTGATGAAGTTTCATTCTTACAATTTATCAATAAAGTATAATTTTAACAACGTAAAAACTTATATCTTTATTATTTCAATTTCTTTAAAACATAAAATCCTTAAATAAAGATGATCTGACCCTTCAACTTAATTAATTCGTGTTTATTTGAATGAATTGGTCTTACACAGTATTTAGGAACCTTAATTAAAATGATGTCAAAATTATCAAAACGAATGGGAAAATGGTTCCAAGCATAACATTTCGTGGAAATTTATAAACTTTGTTATAATTTTCCATTTAAAGGAAGTAATTTAAATCAATGTACGAAACGTGATCTTTTGATACTACTTTTAAAGAGTTACAAAACATGCATGAAACGATGACGATATATAATGATTTTTTTTTTTAAAAAAAAGTAATTTTTTTTTATTCGCCTCAAATAAAAAATAATTTAAGATTGATGTCACTACAAAAATTCATTTTTTTAAAAAAAAGAAATCGTATCAAATAAAAAGGCGTGGTCATTTAGTCTTTCGTCTATTAACGAATATTTCACCTTCAACTTTACCATTCTCTACATCTATAAAGAATGTTAAAATAAAAGTCAATAAAGTTAAAGCAATGATAAAAAAATATGAATATCTCAATTCACGTGAAACGTCAGTAATAGCGACTAATATAAGGGGAGTTATCCAACTAGTTATCTATAAATAAATAAAAAAATATTTATACATTCAACTCCATCTTTAGATTAAAAAAAAAATGGAAACCAAAATTTTTACTTACATTATCCATGATACCAATTAGCGTAGTAAACTCATTATCAGCATTAGGAGGCATCAAGCTAGCACCCAATAATCTTTTATAAGTTGATATTAAACCAATGCAAATTGCTGAACAAACGGTAATAAACCAATACAGCCCATCATTAGTGAATGTATCTATAGGTTTGGCCCAATGTCCCAATAATTCAAAGATTTGTACTAATGAATAACATCCGACAGAAATTAACATAATTGCTTTAACCGATAAACCAAATTTTTTTTGAATAAAAAGAAATAAATAAACTCCAAAAAATCCCCCAATTGGAAATATTATTGCACCTATTGCTACCTCCGATAAAGTAAATGACGGTTGTAATTGCATCACCAACGTTGTCATTGTGCCTAAATGGTTTGCCATTGAATCTCCGATTAGAAGACTCGCGATTAAATATTTTGAAAATTCTTTCAAGTGATAAAGTTTTGGTAAGGTATGAAAGAACCTCTTGATTGAGTATGTATAAAATTTTTGTCCACTGCGAAATTGAGAAAAAATTTTTAGTATAACGAAATCGATCATTTTCATTTATAACAGATTTGAATATGATTACCTGGGTAAAGGGGGATTCTCGCGATTTCGCATAAAGTAAAATGGAATGGTATAAAATATTATACCCCATATACCGGAAAAAGCAATGGACACACTTTGGCTATACAAAGTATGATTCATTGAAATACCAATTCCTATTTGCGCAAGACAATTTATAATGAAGCTAATGAAACTAATTCCCATAGAATGTGTAGTGAATGACGTTGAAACTTTATCCTGAACTTTTGTAATTTCTTCGAGTGGTAAATGACTTGCTTTTGATTCTATAACTTCAGGATGCAAGCGCGTATATGTTGGAATGTATGCAAAATAAAATACGATTGCTATTTGCGTGCAAGCAATTCTATTAATTATTAACAAAAAAAAATTGGTTAGGAATTGGGTCAAACATATGATTTGAAAGAAAAGGATATCTCTTATTTATCTACTTACGCTGTGATGCTTAAAAGTCCAGCGAGCCAATATAACTCTAAGAAAAGCATTATGAACAATATTTCAACCGTTCTATTAAAAAAACAAAACAATAAAAGAAACACAACTTACGAGGATTAAGCACCAATAAAAATAAAACAGCCGCAAACGCACCCACGTAAGAAAAAAAGAAAAGAAATTTCTTGCGGTATCCTATTAACGGACATTAGATATTAATATAATTGAGAAATATCTTAGATACACAGTATAATAATAAATGTGGATGTATACCTCCAAAATCCGCAAGAGATCCGAGAAAAAGAAAAAGTATGCATTGCACTACCGTAGTGATTGCAAATATGTATCTATTATAATTTGACGTATCAATATACCAAAATACAAATTTATTGACGCATTTATAGCCAGCAACTTCCTATATATAATGCATTAAATTAATATTTCATATTTTCACGAAGAAATAATTTTCTTTGGCAATCTAACATTACCGTTTTGCAAGGAGTCTGACGATCCAATTCAAACCCTGATTCCGCTACGAGAGTTGTCAACACAAAAATCATTATTGCTTCAAATAAAAAGATAAGGATAGGTTAGAAATATTCAATTATTTATGTAAATAACGTTTATTATATATTTACTCTGCATTGGAGTAAATGCCCCAGACTGAGAAAATTAAAAAATTGCTAATGAATTAATTATATTACGTAAAAAATAAAAATTACATTTAGTTTTATGATGAAATTTTAATACTTACACCGATTTGATACAATTTCCATCCGTTTAATTCTCTATTCGTTAATTCATCTAGGTTATCTTCAGGTATATTTGTCGCAACTTCTTCGTCCAATATTATGTGGACTAAGTTAGGCGTATTTTGTTCAACGCCCCCTTCTTGAGTTAATTGAGACATTATATGCGTTAAAATTTTTAAAATTTAATTTATTTAAGCACTTGCCCTATTTCTTTAAATATTGGAGTATTATTTTTTTTGAATTCGTCAAAAATTTATATATTTTTTCTTCATGCAAATCACGTGACAAATAATCTAACAAGAAATCTGAAACTTTAAAAACAATCGTAACAGTGATTGTAACAATGAAAAGATAGGCGGCACATTGATTTTAACTTTATAAATCTTATAAGCATAATATCTGACAAGGTTTGTTTATCGTTCCGCGAAATTATCTTAATTTGGAAATGACGAACATTTATATATATTCTTGGCCAGTTGCACGACAGGACCTGAACATTTTAAATCAAGTTAGCGTAAATTGATACAAAAATAGTGTTAACTCGCCGAGACTTGCACGAATTCAAGTGCTATAGAACAATTAATTATATGTCATTCTAGATTACAAAGATGTAAACATTAATAATTGGCTGATATAATACAGAAAATGTTTGCATGTTTCAAAAAAAAAAAAAGAAATGAGCACACAATTCAAATTTATTCTCATTAAAATAATGAATTACTTATTAGATATAAACTGCATCATTAGATCTGAATCTAACTGAATAAATCATCCTTAATAAACAAAGTACTCTTGGTTTCTTAATTTTCTTTTAATGAGGCGAGTAACTATTTCTTGAAAGATTTCATTAATAGAATAAGTTGGCGTAATTCTTAATAATTTAAAATATTTATAAATATATAAAAATATATACTGTATATAAATTCACAATTTTGTAATTATTAATAGATTTTCTCGTTAATTTATTTATAATTAATACCTTGATATGAACTAATTTTATATTCAGTTGCGTAATATCAGAAAAAGACTATGATCTTTTCAATTATGCGTTGCTGCTTCTTTCAAAACAAATTACTTTAGTCAAAAATCAAAGAATTTTTTGTCATGTTTAGAAGAAGAGCCTGCTATTATACGAACCAAGAATTTAGTATAATTGCTTTATGAACGCGCTTTATTATTGTGTATATTTGTGTATTTACAAGTATTATTATAATAATGTACAACATGTGATCACAAGTTTCACCAAAACTCGGAAAACTTTATTTGGATGATTCTTTCTAATGAATTTGATTCCTTTTATGGAAATTTCGAGGCGCAGCTTAACCGATCTCGGTCTAGATTCAAAAAAAAAATTTTTTAAATAAAATAAAATTTAAATTTTACAAAAAAAAATTCAGAAGAATAATCGCAAAACTTAACTAGGACAATAATGAATTGTCAACTCGGAACACTAATCCAAATGTATGTTTTCTTCTATCTATAATGATCGGTCATCCCGTGACTTTTTAAAATTAAGCTGTCGTCATTAAAATTTCTTTCAAAAAATATTATTAAAGGGGTTAAATTATTTTTATTGATTATTTGTATTTAATTTTACTGAAAGAAGCTTATAAAGTTACTAATTCCTAACACTTGTGCATACGAGATACCCGATTGAGGCACGTAATTCTAATTAGTAGTTAGATTTGCATTGCCTCAACAAGAAAAAAAAAAATAATTATTGTAATTTACTAAGTTTGACAATTCTTTATTTTTTTTACCAGTTTTAAAAATTTCACTATTAAACAGTAATATAACAAAAGACAACTTTTTTATACCATTAAATTAATTATTAGTTTAATTCAAATATGACGTATAATGAATTCAAGAATTTGATATCTTATGAATTTTAGAACAAATTATTGTCTGTTTTCATTTCAAAGAAATTTACATGACCTGTATCTCACTCAATATATTTGGGTTGCCTACTGATGTCTGTTTTTCGTGACTATATTATTTTAGAAAGTTTGGCATATAAATGATCACGTGATATTACATGTTGTGTAACCTTTATAAAATTTCGTTTAAAGAAATAAAACAAATTAATCATGAAGATTCTGTTGCTCCTTAATCCTGGTAGTAGAGGCCTGCATAAGACCAAATTTAAGCCGGCCCGGCCCGGATCTTAAATTCGTGTATTAAAAAGCAGACCGTTGACCTCTTCTTGTTACTAACATTTTCTTTTCTTATATAGTCTTATTTTCAAAATCGAGGGTAATTTGAATAATTTCATTGAATAACAAACAACAATAAAATTTTCAACTCACGTGATTTGTTTTATGAGACTTGTTCAAAATTAATAATGTGACGAATAATCCTTTCCTAAATGAAGCTACCATAAAAGGGAAACGAAAAATTTTAATTTTTTTGGTGCGAGTCATACGGCTTCGTCATATAATCATGCTTTCAACAATTTATAAATCATGTAAAGAAATAAACCATCTTTCATATTTTCAAATAATCATACATATCAAGTAGAAGATAAAAACACAGGCAAAGCATTATTCTCTATACCTCGCACTTTCATAAAATCTTAGATAAGAAAAGCATGTACTTTGGTAAAACAAAAGAACAATGTTAGTTGTTAGATTGACCTTTTGGATAGTTTTAGTGAGACGGTGCACAACAACATTTGGAATTTAAATTTAAAAATTCCAAATTTGTACACGGGTGTTTGGACAAATCACGTGACTCGGACGGCCAGCATTACCAGCATTAATAAATTAAAATTACCTGTGCGATGACCATGTAACGAATATTGTGTTATGAATAAGAACTTTTCACCGAAAAAATTCTCTGTAATAAATAGTAAAAATAAAGGCGGAGAGGTGTGTTACAGGTGACAAATATAAGGTCATGTGACACGTGTTCAAACACCCGGGTAAACTTAGAAATTTTCTTTTGATAAATATTTTTAAGGTAATTTTTTTTATAATTTTGTTTTGTTTATATTTAATAATCAGCGCTTATTTAACTTCTTTTTCATTAATTTATTCCCAAAACTCAATTATTTTGTTAATCGTTTGGCAAAATTATTAATTATCAGTATTAATTTTTGTATGTCAATGTTTTTATTTGCATTTAATAAATAAATAGCCTTCAATAATGTCTTTTTAAATTTATTGTTTCGCTTTAATTATTAACTAATGAGTTTAATAGTTAGTACACGCGATTATTACCGGTAGTTATTTAATCAATTCCTTATATACTAACAAAACAGTATAAACAATTCAAATGTAACTTTTTATTATCACTCTAATCAATATATGCGGAGTGACAATAAGAGTTTCTTCAAATGTTAACCAATTATATTATTTTGTCGCACGTCAACATTGATTATCATACTCATGTGTAGAAAATTTCTTTTGCTTGTTCTAGACCTGTTAGTTCGAAAATAGATGATGCACTTGCATATTCAGAAAATCACTCAATTTTTTATGCTAGCCACGTGACAAATAGGTTCGGATCAATCGAGATTTTGCCAATATTAAAATTTTCAACATGTTTAAGCGCATCTCAAAGCTCAGATCTTTTCCTAAATGCACCGCAATTTTCGGGGATCGTCAAAAAAAAATTTTTGTTGTATTTTTGTATTCAGTTCTTTATGTATTTATAAACAATTTGTATTTAAAAGCAGAAGGATTTTATTAAAATTTAATAATATCAATTAATCAGTGTTGTTACCTTTACGTCGGCGCTCTGCACTTTCGCAATGTCAATGTATTAAACTAATAATAAACTAACAATACTAATTAATTAAAGCTGCGCAAATACAAAAATATAAAGTAAAATAATAAGAAATCGGGATTTTAAAATAAACGAAATTACAAAGTTAAATTTTATAAGGTTAAAATGACAAAAGCGAAAATATCGCAAAGGAAGAAAGAAGGTTTAAAGTGTAAATTTCTATCAAGTACTGGAGCAGTTAATGACGAAAAAAAAATTCTTATGCGGAGTGCAACTGAAAATATCGCCTAAAAAAGATTA